GGGTTACTCCCCCAACGTGCACGCGGTAGCTCATAACCATGCGCAACTCGGGTTCCAGGGGACTCTCATGCCAAATGCTCACCTCCTCAGGCACCAGGCTCGCAGGTGATGCACGTGCGCAAAGGTAGGCAAAACACTTCTAAAATAAACCCTAAAGATGTAAACAAACGAGCGAGCGCCCGTGGAGCCCACTCCAGGGCACTGCAAAGCCCGGACTTTGCTAATTTCCCTGTCTTCATGGCACAGCACAGAGGTGTTCGTAGCAAAAGCCTTCGGAAGTCAGAGTGAAAAGAGGCGGGGCGCGAGTGGCAGGGAGGGGCGTGGAGGGGGCTGATGGGGGACTAAGGTGGTTCCAAAAGGAACCCAGGTCCCTCTGAAGCAGCAGAAGAAAGAAAAGGGCGGAGCTGCACGGAGAACACAGGGAGGAGGGGTACGGAAAGGGGTACGGAAAAGGGCCGGACGGGACGGTTAAGCGGCAGAGCCCTGTGTATGGAGTGAAGAGAACGATGGGACCTATCGAAAGTGTTACCCCAAGACTGACCCGCGAAGCCACAGAGCACAGGGGTTCTCAACCTTCCTAATGCTGAGGCCTTTCAATACAGCTCCTCAAGCCGGGGTGGGCCCCCAACCATAAAGTTACTCATTGCTGCTTGGTAACTGTAATTCTGCTGCTGCCGTGAATGGTGACGCAGGTTCCCGTGTGTTCCAGTGGTCCTAGGGGACCCCTGTGAAAGGGTCGTTCCTCCAGTCAAAGGAGTTGCAAACCGCAGGTTGACAGCCACTGTTCTAAGAGCGACTGAAGGGTTTGTTGAGTTCCACAGGAAGCTGGTACCTGTGAAGGTGGGGTGGGGTGGGGGCAATCGAGGTGATTATGGGCTAACATTAACGCAGAAGATGCGCGAAAATTTCAAGGAAGCCTGAGGGGTTGAGGAGGAGGAGCCTGGACTTGGTGGAAATGCGATTGGCTAGAACTGTGAGAAAACACAAAATGTAGAACTCAGAGCAGACGCCAACTCCCCTGATACTTTCCCCATTGTGTCGACTGCATAACTGACTGACGAGAAGAAACGTAAGGGCTGGGCGGGGTTATCTGGGCTCACAGTTTCCTGGGACACAGTCCATTATGGTGGGGAAGGCATGACACCCAAAGATCCACGGTGGACGACAGGGTGTGAATGGACAGAGATCCTGGCCCTCTCTTTACGCTCTCGGGAAGCCGAGTGTGACCAACGCGGATGCTGGGCTGGTTTTCTCCTTTACTCCTCTAATTCAGTCAACCCTCTTTGGAAACAATCGCTAAGATACTCCCAGAGGTATGTTCCACTAATACTCCAGGTTTTTATTAATCCAATCAATCCGCGACCAGAATTAACCATCGCACAGTCAGAAAGGAGACCGCCATCATCCAACGTCAAGACTAAAGTTTTGGAGTATTAATACAAGGAGGGACCAGTCTTCATGGCGGGTACCAAGGAGACTGCGGATGCGGTTCTAGGGATGTCGGAGAACAGGAAGTCACGTCTGAGTTGTGGCCGCTGGAGACAGAGCACAAAGGGAAGTCTTTGCCAGGGATTGGTGCACTGAACCCTAGGGGCTGAGCTGAAACCCAGTAAACCTTTGGAACAGAGCTCAACAATGTCTCAACCTCACTGACTTTCATTCACCAGATCCCTTTCCCCTCCCTCTCAGGGAAACAGATTGAATGCATAATGGCTCTGAAATGCTCCCTTGAGAACACGCCTCCAACTAACTCATAAAAATTAAATGCTTTTCATTACAACCTGAGTGAGTGACTTGCTGTGTCCTCCCTCTGTAGTGTGTTACCCTGAATGACAGAGAGTGGCGTTGCCCCAAACTTGACCCATTAGAGGTATTAGATCATAGCTGAACCGTGAATAGCTACAAATTTTGTTGATTTGAAAATTGATTTTTACTGTTTAGAGAACAATGGAAGGTAGTTAAATACCTGAACTATTTAATATCAGAAATATGTAGGTGTTAGATAACATTTGTCGACGTATGAACAGATAGGAAAAATACATTAAGCAAATTAAATACAAATGTTTGTATACTGGGTTTATCTGACATGATAAAAAGAAATCTGTCTTCTCAGATTCTAATCCTTGTTCCCTGCCTCTCACCCCACCTTCCTCACTGGAGTCACTGCCCCTAAATACTCATTTCAGAGATAAAGCAAAAATTGGAAGGAAAAACCCACATACTCTAGAAAGCAACTCATTTCCTCATCTAAAATACTTTCCCACCAAGACACAAATGGGATGATAGTTTTAGGGTAAGCTAATGAATTGATGCCTTCAGATTGTTCGAAAATAAGTGCTGTGAAAACCATTGTTTTTATAGCGTGACCTGTGTCATCCTGTGATGAAACACTGCTGTTTACCCATGAAGAACAGAACACTAATACTTGCGGGATACATGAGTGGTTTGTGTTGTACATGGGCTGCTTGGGCCATAACAAAAATGCGTGGTAAACTAAATTAAGGCAAAGTTACGCAGTTGCCAAGTTACCACTAAATCACCTCGTAATCAGGCAGTGATGAAAACCTATACAAGCGAGGCTCATGGGCCCTGGTTGTCAGTCCTTGCAGGACCTTTGGATTTGGATGGATGTCGTAGGGCTAGAGGCATTAAGCAATCGAAGATGTGCCTAATACAAGGTTTGGTCACCACAGAAGAGTCTGAGGCAGGGTAAACATCTGAGCAGCCACAAGGCCTGGAGCTGGGTGAGCTAGGGCTGTGGTAATCACAACTGACGCCATCAGAGAGCCCTGTAGGGCATGTGAACCTCAGGCTGCTGGCTGCTGCCTCCCGAGTCTCTGACTCAGTGGATCTGGGGTGGGGACTGGTAGTTTCTGTGTTTTTTATCACCGATGCTAACCATTCTGCCAGTCCTTGAAGAGTCACTGGCTTGGGGCAATTTCTAGGGGTGAAGGAAGGGGTGAGTAAGGAAGTGTGGGAGGGGTGAAGGGAGAAGGAAGAGGGCAACTGTCCTAGTGTCATTCCTGACACCCGGACAGGAAACGACCTAGGGGAGAAAGAGTTTCCTTTAGCTCACACTTCCAGGTTACGGTCCATCAGGGCAGCAGCGGGTCACAGGCCAGCCACCGTCAAATCAGAGAGAATGAATGTACGCATGCCGGTGCTCGACTCATTTTCTCCCTTTTCATGCAGCTCAGAACCCACACCCAGGGAACGACACCTCCCAGTGTAGACAGAGCCTTCTGCCTCAATTAACATAATTAGGACATCTCCTGCAGACACAACCACAGGCAACCCTGTTTGGAAAACCCTCTCACTGGGACTCTTTTCCCAGATGGTCCTAGATTGGGTCCTTACCAACTAAAGCCAACCACCACAGTAGCTTACGGGGAGGAATTAAATCAAGGACTGAACGATGGTGCTTCAGGACTCACTAAGTTAAAACGGTACAACTGGAGAGTCAGCATGTAACTAAACGCCAACCTCTGTGCTGCACACTTCGGTCTCGCCAGATGGACAAAGTGACAGCACCCAAAGAGAAACTTAAAGATGCCGAAAAAACATGACAGATAGGAGTGGGACTGAGCTCTGTGGTTAAGTAACATCCCAAGGTCAACAGGTCACAAGAGTGCCCAGGTCATAAGCTGCTTGTGAGAGGAGCGAGGACCAAGGCAGCTGGAGACGGGAACATGGTGCTTGCGGCTGATTGAGACTGGAGGGACAGAGTGGCTTAGGATGCAGTGATGATGAGCTCACTAGTATTGCCTCTCAGAAGGAGGCACGCCCGTCCTTCCGTCCTGGCCAGGCGGACGCAGGCCTCTTGCTGCCGCAGCCTCCTTCCAGCACATGGAAGAGATAACATAAACATGGGCTTCGCGGTAGCCATTTATCAAGCACACAGGTCAGGCTCTATAGACTCAAAGCAGGGAAGAGGCCAAGACCGTTGTATTGAAGTTTCCAGATAAAGTAGGCCTCGGGGACCAGGAATAAACATCCCCTCCTTGTGGGTAGCTTAAGAGCAGACTGTCTCATTCCGAATTTTGCTGGCTTTGAATGGTTCTAGAAAGACTACTGTGAGTTGAGGAGCAGGGGATGGCATTTTAAACACTAGAAAGTTAGGTGTGGTGGCAGACACCTGCACTCTCTGCACTCCAGATGCTGAGGCAGGAGGATTGCTGACTCCTTCTAAGACCCAAAGAAGTCGGAAAGACAGCAAGTCAGGGGTCTCTGCCAGGGCAATGCTGATGAAGGAACTGTGTGTGAGCATGCTGCTTGAGGAACAGGTGCCTGCTGCCTCCGTGACTGACCCTTGGCATTGGCCTAGCAGGTGCTTGGGTCCATTTTCCAGGGCTTCTTGGTGTAAACTTCAAACGTGATTCCTGGTAACTCGGTTTAATAACATTTTGTGACAGAGGGCATGATGAGTTGTGTGTGTTATGAGTATGTATGTGTGTGTGCATATGTGAGTATGTATTGTGTGCACACATATGAGTATGCATGTGTGTGCACATATGTGAGTATAATGTGTGTGCACATACGTGAGTATGTGTGTGCACATACATGAGTATGCATGTGTGTGCACATATGTTGAGTATACACAGGCAAGAATGAACCTAGATTGTCATTCCTTGGGAGCCACCTGACTTGTTTTGTTTTGCTTTCTTGTTGTTGTTGTTTTGTTTTTTCAGACAGGGTAAGCTATGCTGGCTGGCCTCAGATCTGCTGCCCTAGGTTCATGTGCTTCCAGGAAGAGCGTTTTCTGTGCCAGCCGCCCCCACCCCAGAACCGTCCCTTTAGTCTTCATATACTCCCGTGTATTAACTCAGTCTTTACAAAACGCCTCAGGAGAAATGCAGACGCCCCAGAGAAGAAAACAGGGAACTGACAAGTGAAACCCTTGTGCTCAAACAGGACGTGTGGCCAGGCTTGCCTTTCTAATAGTTCCACTCATGGGGCATCAAAGGTTGGTGTTCCAGTCCCCCAGGTGGCCAGTCACTCACCTCTGAGGACTCCATGATGGTACGGTTGCTCGCTGTGGAGCTCCAGGACATGCCAGCCCCCCTCATCGGGTCACTTGGTACCTGGAGAGATCACCTACACAGCACAGAGGATCTCACTTAAATTCGGTGGTTGATAAAAGCCCCGGAGGCACAGATCGGAGCTGATAGTTTAATCCTGTCCCATTAACTATTACCACTTCCATGCATTCAAGTACAGTGCTTTGGGCTCCGCTCCAGGACCAGCAGATTTTATCCCAACTGGAAGAGCCCGGTGTTATTTTGATGCAGGTTAAGGGAATTGTTTAGTTCTGGCATTCCCTGCCAGGAACACAGAAGTGAAACTAAGTTTGTGGTGAACTCAGCATGAGAAAGTGGGTGAGAATGGATATCTTCTGCTGTCTTTGCTGTTTCTGGGAAGAAATGCCCCGGCAAAAGCAGCTTCAAGAGGGAAAGAAAGGCTTTACCTTGGCTTTCGGTCCCAGGACATACTCCACGAAGTTGGCGAAGTCCCAGAGACAGGAGCTTGAGTCTGCTCCTCTCATGGAACACACAGTCAGGGAAACCTCAGCTCCGCAGGATCCTTCCTGTTTACTCAGCCCAGGACCCAAGCCCAGGGAATGTTTACCACGGGTCCTCTTACCTCAGTGAGCCTAATCAAGACAGGCCACATAGGCAGCTTGATCCTAGGTGGCTCTACTACTCTTCAGAGAAGGCAGGCTCCCAGTGACCTCAGTCTGCCCCCTAGGCTTTACCCCTAAAGGCCCACTGCCTCCTCATAGTATAAAACTGAGGACCCAGCCTTACACATAGGAGACTTCTGACATAACTATCTCATTTGGAAGACATTAGGACCATATGTCTCACCCCGGACCTCCTGAGGGTGAGATGTGTGGTTTGAAAAACATTATTTTATTTTATGTGTGTGGTTGGTTTGCTTGTGCCTATCAGGGTCAGGGTCAGAAGAGGTCATCAGATCCCCTGGAATTGGAGTTAGGGTTAGTTGTTAGACCCCAATGGGTGCTGGGAACTGAACCCAGGTCCTCTGTAAGGGCAACAAGTACTCTTAACCACTGAGCCATCTCTGTAGCTTGAAGGATTCTTGAAAAAATATTTTACAATATATGATATGTATTATGGTTTTCTTTTGTGTGTGTGTATGGTGTGTACTCGCCCTAGGCCAGAAGTGTACATGATCCTCTGGATTCCCTGGAACTAGACTTACAGGCTGTTTTAAGTCTGGGGACTGACCTCAGCTCTGCAGGAAGCTCCTGTTAAGTCCTCTCTCCCTCCCCGTGAAGATTCTTTAGGTTCTTTTTCAAAACTCTAGCAAAGCGGACACCTTTGCCTTCCCATCTCAACCTGCCACGAGTCTGTGCAAATCTGTGTGCTTCACCCTGATAATCTGGGCTGTGAGCCCTGTTGTTGATCACCTCAAGCCCTTTGGAAAAGAGGTTTTGTTAGTATGCAAACAATAAATTAATGCATTAACTAGCTCTGTTGCTTGTAATTATAGAGCTATTGGTATAGGAGTGACTTGAAATGCTGTGAGCTAAATATCCAATTACTGCCTTGCATAATTTGACTTTAATTATTCTGCCTCAGATGCAGGTAATAGCTTTATTCTTTTCTTTTTCATATAGAGTTATGGTAGCAAAGCAACCAGTTCAACCCTTCTATAATATGAACCTAAGAATATCTACTTTTACAGGTAATGGTGTAAGTTACTTTTCTGTTTCTGTGTTTAAACAGTATGATGAAGGCAGCACCTAGAAGGAAGGGATTATTTGGGCTTGTGGTCCCAGGGGCACAGGAGTCGGTGACCGTCACGGCAGGGAAGTGTGGTGGGCACAGATGATGTGGGAGGTCCTTCTGTGTGCTCCAAATATGTGCTGCTTTTATTGGTTGGTGAATGAAGCTGTTTTGGCCAATGGGCAGTCTGGATTTCGCTAGGTGGGAATACTGGACAAAGAGGCAGGGAAAAGAAAGACAAAGGGGAGATACCTTTGATGGGGGACGTCCTTCTGTACGCTGTGAATGTATGTTTCTCTTATTGGTTGGTGAATAAATGCTGATTGGCCAGGAGCCAGGCAGGAAGTATAGGTAGGGCCACCAGACTAGGAGAATGCTGGGAAGAGGAACACAGAGAGTGGGTTGCCAGGGAGATGCCATGTAGCTACCAGGAAGATAGGACACCTGGGCATTCTCCATTAAGCCAAGACTACATGGAGATACTTAGATTACTAGAAATGGGTTAAAAGTAAAAGAGAGAGCTAGCCAGTAAGAAGCCCGAGCCATTGGCCAAATAGTTTTAACTAATGTAAGTCTCTGTGTGTTTATTTGGAACTAAATAGCTGGGGGACCAGGCAGGACAGAAACCTCCGTCGCCTTCATGCCATGTTGCTGCCAAGAAAGCAAGAGGCTTGGGCATTCTCCAGTAAGCCAAGACCGCATGGAGATACGTAGATTAATAGAAATGGGTGAATAAGTAAGAGACAGCCAGCCAGTAAGAAGCCTGAGCCATCGGCCAGTTTGTAATTGATGTAAGCCTCTGTGTGTTTACTTGGGACTAAACAGTCAAGGGACTGCGTGGCACAGAAGCTTCCATCAACACATGGCAGGGATCACAGCTGAGGGAGCCAGGGAAGTGTGGTGGGCGTGGGGGGGAGGGGCACAGCTGAGAGCTCACACATCAAGCTGCAAGTGGGAACACAGTGGGAGAACAGACGGGCTCAGGGCTTTGAAACTTCACCCCGCCCCCCCACGCGCCTCCCCCAGCGAGGCCACACCTCCTACTCCCCCCTCAAACAGTGCCAGGAATTGGGGCCAGCTGCTCAAGTATCTGAGACTACAGGTGATGCCTCATTCTAAATGCCACAGCACTTCTCTCTCTCTCTCTCTCTCTCTCTCTCTCTCTCTCTCTCTCTCTCTAATCCCATCCAATCTTTATGACATTTCTCAGGTATGCTGAGCTTTTATTCCTTATCACCTGAGACAGGGTCCCTCCCTGAGCCGTGACCATCTCACACAAGCTAGCTGACGGGTGAGCTCTCACCGTATGCCCCTCCCCTCTCCCAGGGCTGGGTTTGCAGGCACGGCCACCTGTGCCCGCTCTTTGCTCTAGTGCCTGGGGTTGCCACTCAGGTCCTGAGGCTGGCAAAGCCAGCGGCCTTCCCCATTGAGCATCGGCCTAGCCCTGTGTCACAGTCAGTGTTTTTCATGGAATATTTTTAAGACTGTCACCGCAAGGCTTACAAGAGATTACTGTGTAGAGAGGAGCCGTCCCGCCAGCCTGGTTCCAGAGCCGCATCAGTCCCAAATGAACACACAGGAGGCTATATTAATTATTATTATTAATTATGAAGCTTTTGGCCGTTTGCTTGGTTTCTTACTGGCTGTCTCTGATTTAAGTATTTACCCCATAATTGCTAATCTAAGTATTTCTCTTACCGAAGAAAGGGTCCGGACTTGTTACTTCTATGGCGGCTACATGATGTCTGCCTGTGTTTCTCTTTCCCAGAATACTCCTCGACTCCTAGTCCCACCTGTCTTGCTTCCCTATTGGCCAACAGTGCTTTATTCAAACCACTAAGAGACAGATTTACAGAATGGCATCTCCCATCACTGCTGGACATCACGTAAACGTTTAGGGTCTCCAAGCGCAGCAGGGCAAGCATGCCGGAAGTGTGAGTGTGACACACCCTGCGTTTCTCTTGCTTGCTGCCTGATCAGGTCTGCTGGTTAGCTTCATAACTGGTATTTCTAATGATACCCCATTGCTGACAGTTTTCTTAGGATATGAAACCTTTCTATCTCTAAGTATCTTAAAGAGATTTTATAAAATTATCCACATGGTTCTAATGATCATTTTCTAAAACAAACTTCTCTTAGGCTCATTTTTCTCATCAAATGAGTTGAATCTTCCTGGTGATACGAAGACACAAAGCCAGGAAAATATTACAACTGGTTTTGATTTTTGGTTTTGTTTTGTTTGGTTTGGTTTTTTTTTTTTTTTGGTTTTGTTTTTTGCTTTTTGAGGCTTTGGAGGCTGTCCTGGAACTAGCTCTTATAGGCCAGGCTGGTCTCAAACTCAGAGATCCACCTGAATCTGCCTCCCGAGTGCTGGGATTAAAGGTGTGTGCCACCAGCGCCCTGCAGAAACACCGGAGACCTGAACACTGCACACTGTGGATCCGGATCCTTGCCTAACAGGATTCAGCCTGCCCAGACACTGCTAGCACCACAGTCCCTTTCTCCATCCACAGGGATAGATAGGCCTAGGCTTGGTTACAGCCCACTTTCCAGTGATCAGAAACATATGGTGACTCCAGAAATGCACAGTTCAGTGATTTTCAACTCTGTGAACACCGACAGCCAACATCTCTATCACTCTCCTCCCTCACCCTAGGCGCCCACTCTGCCCTCCTGTCTGGTCATTGACTCTCCTCACCCTAGGCGTCCACTCTGCCCTCCTGTCTGGTCATTGACTCTCCTCACCCTAGGCGTCCACTCTGCCCTCCTGTCTGGTCATTGACTCTCCTCAGATGCCAGAAGTATTTTACCCGCAGATATTCTGGCCTTCTGACGTCTATCTTGCTCAGGCTTGAGTTTCTGGAGAGAGCTCTGAAACGCTCATGAATTTGCTTTTCAACTATTCTTACTCAGGCACCTCTCACACCCAGCACCAGTGGGAGGTAGGTTGGAATGACAGAAAGAAACAGCAGGATGGCCATGCTCCAGAGGGGTGACGGTCTAGTCCCCACAGCCTTCCAATCTCTCCTGAGCCCCCTGCCCTCCTCGTTCATACTCTCTACCACCTACGTAACTGCTTGTGCTAGCAAGTTAGAGTATCAATGCAATGCTTTCTTTCACTTCTAGATGTTTTATTCATCCATGTTAATCATACACTGTGTCTAAGATACATCCTAAATGCGCTTGTGAGTTCATGTAGCAGAATGTGTATGTGCAAAACAAACTTCCCAACGCCCCTGCTACAGAAACAACTCAGTTAAAAGCCTCTGCCTTGACCAACACAACCGTTGGTCTCCTGGGTCTTCTTCTGGGCAGCATCGGGCTTCAGTATTGCCAAAATTCAAGACTGGAATTTCAGCTCCAATGCTGAATGTTACCTTGTTTTGTTTTTAATTTACAAAACTTTTCTTAATGGGCTACTTCTCAGCCCATTGTTTCCATCTGCATAGTGTGGTGGTTGGTCAAGGTTCCATCTCACCTGTAGGGATTTCCGTGGTCTAGTTATTACTGCTTTCCTGTCACAAAAGAGATGCCGGGAAGCACCCATCGTACTCTTCGTGTGATCTCCAACACGTGCATCCTGAGAGTGGTTTTTGATTGAACTACGACGTCCCCATAGAATATCCAGTGGCAATGATTTTAAAGGCAAAAGTGAAAATCATCTTTGCCTTGAGAAGAAAAGTGCCCCCCCCAATTTGGCTTCCTTTCCGAAAGCCCGCTGGGCCAACTGACTGGTTTCCAGCGTGGCGAGAGTCAAGCAGTGTTTTGTTTTGTTTTTGTTTTTTTTGTTGTTGTTTTGGTTTTGGTTTTTTGGTTTTACAAGAC